TCCATATGCAAAAAGATTGGATTTTGGACAAAATTGGAAGGTTATCAATGGAGGATCAAATCAAATCTCCAAGCATTGATGTACAAGGATTCAGCCCACATTTGTTGACCTAATGCATTGCTCATTACTTATACAAGCTAAAGCAAACGAGATCAGAGGTTGGAGGCTGCAAGAACACCAAAAGCAAACTTGAAAAAATTGGCAAAAAGCTTGAAACTGAAATCGTGCATATAGGCAAATTCAGGGGCAAATCTCAACACCAATCCATTGTTGGGTATCCACTGAACCTCCTGCAATCAAAAGCAAGCTCTCACACCCTCTCAATCTCGCTGTAAGTCTCTAAAAAAAACGCCCTGTATTTGAAATCGTATCCTCATGTTCTTGCATTTTTTTGACAAATTATTGGCATATTCATGATGTTTGTTCAATTTACAAGCTTTCTGCATTATTTGATTGCATTAATATGGCCTGTAACCCCCTAGCCGAATCTAGGGTTCGTAGTTTTTCTTTTTTGGGGTTTTCTTGTACAGGCGAAATCAAGGTCCAAGAATGGTACAGGTGTACTCAGGATGCCCAGACGAATAGAACCATGGTCTTGGGGTTCGTTTTCATGGCCTAGGTTTGATTTTTGGAATGTCATACGGATTTAGCTGCGGATATAAATCCGCAGGTAAATAACCAGGGTGAACGAAGAAGATGAAGACGTGGCCCTCCCTGGTTGGATAGTTCAAATGTTCGCGCGTTTTTGTTTTAATTCTGGCATATTATTGTTTTTCCCTATATTATAATTATTGTCCAATAGGTATACAAACGAAGCGCGTTGGTTGAGTGGTGGAAATGTTGTGCAATGACTTACAAGACCTGAGTTCGAATCCCAGGTCCCCCATGCATTTGTATTATTTTTTCATAGGTTATCCAGTGCAAGCCAAGGCTGAAGACCTATCATATGCCCTCAGATCTCAAAGCACCAGATGGCCCCAGGCCAGATCTGGTGGTCCAAGAGTGATGTTCACCATACTCCCTAGTCAACGTGCCACATGGAATTCCAAAAAGTCAGCCAGGCCAATGGACTACTGGGCCTCATAATTGCTATCCCAACCTCCCAAAAGCAGGCCCAAATCTCTAACTCTATTTTCTCTATTTTATTTATTTATATTGTTTATTTATTTTTCATAATTTAATTAACCAATCAAACTTTTTCTCTCTCAATGAAATCAAAAACCAAAAAATATTTTCTTTATTAAAATTAATTTTCAATATTTTATTTTTGTTAATAAATATTAACTTAATTAATTTAGTTTAATTATAAAATAACTTTAATATCTTTTGCAGTAATTAAAATTAATTTAGACAATTAGGTTTTATTAACTTTGATTAATTTATTTTTATTTCTTTAAATATCAAAAATCCAAAAAATATCATTTTGATTAATTAATTAATTTGTTCATTAATTTAATAAATAACTTAATTTAATTTCTTTTAATTCAAAAATAACCAAAAAATCTTTTCTTTAATAAACAAAGGGTCAAAACCCTAGAATGCGCCCAATTTAATTTTCCCACACGCGATCCATATTTATTCAATATTGTATCTGTTTCCTGGGATCTAATAGTTTAATATGACCTTTACTATTTTTACCGCTTTATTTATTTTCCGCAT